TTGGTGTCCCTTACTCCAGCCAGGGCAGGTTTGAATCTTCAAGTCCAGAATTAAACAACTTCTCCAGGCCAGCAGCTGGAAAAGGTGTCTCCACAGCTGCTTGAGGAAAGGTCTGGAGATGTTTGCAGAGAACTGTGTTGTTCCCCATCTGTAATGGAAGGAACTTGGCTCACCAGCCTTTCTTGTGCACCTGGATTAAAGCTGGTTTAGGCTTGAGCAGAGACTTTAATTTTAGCTTTTCTTTGAATATTCCGAATGATCAGAAGGGCAGAAATAGAAGGATAAATGAAACAACAAATCATCTCATAAAATGACCCTTCCAGGGTCTAATCCTGCATCCCCATCGTGCTTTAAACACCTTGTGAAATCAGAAACATGCAGCACACACGGTGCTGGGGGGGAAAGGTCTCGCTGTGGCCAGCAAAATCCTCCTGCAAGCCAAGAGGGTGTTACTGCTCTAAGCTGTGCCTTTGGTAATTTAAGATAGAGTAACCATGTGGTCACAGAGCAGATTAACATTCTTTGGCCGGCCAGGACGAGCTTTTATTTTGAAAGCCACCTGGGTCCCACTTAAAAGTAGTAGAATAGTGGAGGATTTATTAGGACTGGGCAGGCTCCTATTTAACAATGTCAGGGCAGAGCTGTGGAAATACAGACACTTTTCTTCTTTGGAGACACACAACGCTCTACATTTCGTCCTTGCACAGCTGTTGCCGTTCTGTAACATCAAACCAGCACAAAGTTTGGCCATGAAGGATACCTAATATTTGGGTTTTATATGCAGTGTCTCCAATTTATGCGCTCAGAATCATGAGGATGACTTATGATGTGTTGTGTTTGCCTTGGCAATGGCTCAAACCCAGAAATATATTTCAGGCTTGGCTTTCCAGATATTATCTCAAGTCATTTAAAAGTTCATTATAGGGCACCCGCTAGTGCTGCTCTAGTAAAGGGGCTGTCAGCATTTTTCAAGGGTTTATAACTCAGCCATTAAAAAAAAAAACTCTCTGTGGGCTGAAACTTGGCATTCAGGGTCTAGGCCCAGCAGTAAATTGTTTTTACAAATTAAAAAAAAATCAGTTTGACTATTATTAAATTATAGGTGGGCTAAATTTTATTTAGAACTCTTTCAGGCTATTCTCCTGTACTTCTGTAAATTAAAACTTTTCCCAAATGTTTTTATAGAGAGCTACTCTAAAATATGGACAGGCTTTTGTTCTGTGCTCGAAACTCTGAGATTTAACTTAAAATATAATAACAGTGCTTATCCCAGCATAGCACTTTTCACCTTCAAAGTGCTTTATGAGCATTATCTCATTAATGTACATAGCAGCCTCCCCATGATGTAAGGGGGATTATTATCCTCACTTTATGGCTGGAGACATCGAGCCAAAAGGTTTAAGGCTGTTTTTAAAAGGCCTTAGTTGCACAAATCCCATGTGAGCTTTGATTGGCTTTGGGTGTCTACTTCCCTTTGGCTCTTCTAAAAATCACAGCTGAGCTGATTCACCCAAGGCTGCTCCGAGCCAGGATTAAACTCAGACTTTCCAAAGGCCAGTGCCACCAGACTGGATCATTCCCAGTACACAAAACCCATCCTTTTTCCTAAGAAATTGTTCTTTAGGTCAGAGGGAGTCAGCTCCATCTGAAGGGCTCCCGGATGGCAGGAGAGGGTCAGATGAATTATGGTGAAATGGTTTGGATTGCAAAGGACCTTAAAGTTTATCCCATTCCACCCCTGCCAGGGGACACTTTCCACTAACCCAGGGTGCTCCAACCTGGCCTTGGAATTTCCAGGGATCAGGAGCATCCACAGCTTCTTTTGGAAAACCATGCCAGGTCCTCACCCCCCTCACAGGGAAGAATTTCTCCTTTGATGGGCTTTGGAAGGTGAGAGACACAATAAAAATACAACTGGGCTTCTCTGCAGCCCCTCCACACCCGGCAAGGGCAGCAATGGAGGAGTTTGGTGCATGTCAGAGGAGGGATGATCATCATTTTGTGTGCCTCAGCAGCAATACAAGGTTTTTGGGGAGTTTATTTTCAATTCCAAATCTGCTTTATCTGTGAGAAACATCCTCCAGAGCTCCCAATGCCTTCAAACCTGCCCTGTTTAAATCCCATCTCAGGTGAGCTGCTTGATCTGGCGTATCATTCTGATACTAAATGTACGGATTTGAGGACTAATCTAGGGTGAATTTAGGAGATGAATTTGTTTTAGTGTTTCTGCAGTAGCTCCTGGAGGAAGGTGGAGAACAACTAGAGGAGTCAGCAGCTCCTGAGGCCACTTGTGTTGGTACTTACAGAGAAGTTGCAGCCACACTTTTTCACTGACTTAACAATTTCTATTGATACTTCAAAATCCTTCTCCAGCCTTTGGAAACCTGCCCTACATCCTCACTCTTTGATTTGCCTCTCCTGTATTCCTCAGGACCTTTAAACCTGCTGTTCACCGTGCTGTTTGTCAGCCAGCCCATCCCAGGGTTAGCTGGAGATGGCTGAGGGAGCATTATCAGGAATTACACAAATGGCTGCGGTTCAGAAACGTTACCTTGGGTAATTAACTGCGGCTCTCCGGTCCCAGGCTATTAGTGGGGCTTTATTAAACCCAGATTGTGCAGAGAGCCCAGCAATCCAAGAGCTGGCTGGAGCTCTGCTTCCCAGGGAGGGTGTTGGGATGGCAGGGCAGAAAGCTGCCTTGGGATGGAGCTTGGAGAAATGGTCCTGGGGAGCTGAGGAGCCCTCAGACACCCCTGAGAGACTTTGGACCCTGCTGTCTGTCCTACAGGGCTGGGGTCTCTGCCCTTTTAACCCCATAGGATCCATGGGAGTATCAGAACAGCTGTATTTTCATAGAATCATGGAATATTCCGGTTGGAAAAGGACTTTAAGATCACCAAGTCCAACTAGCATCATGTTCACCCCTAAACCACGTCCCCAAGTACCACTTCCATGTGTTTTTTGAACATTTCCAGGCATGGTGACTCCACCACTGCCCTGGGCAGCCTGTTTACATGCTTTACAGCTGATTTTTCCCCCTGGTACCCAATCTAAACCTCCCCTGGTGCAACTTGAGGCTGTTCCCTCTCATCCTGTCCCTGCTCCCTGAGAGAAGCACAGTTTCACACCTGCACATCAGAACTCCGTTTAAAAAATACAGGTGGAAAAAAAAAAATCTGTGGGCAGGGCCTGGGTGCCAAATGTTTGTCCCAAATGGCTCCTGGGACCAGGTGAGGACAGGGACGCTTTGTTCAAAGTGCTGTGCAAACACAGGGTAAGTTGTGTGCTAAACAGATTAAAAACAAAGGCAAGAGATACTTCTCTCCACAAACCATAATGAAGGGAGGAGCTGGGCAAGCCAAGATTACAGGAATAATTAGGGAAGTGGCTTACTTAGGCAGGTTGGGTGGCTGAGCTGGTTTGGAACATGCTGGAGGGTTTTTTCACACTTTTAGGAAGGTTTCTTGCTGGAGTGAATGCAGATGGACTTGAGAGTGGTGGAGCACAAGCAGCACAGCAGCAATTTGGGGATGGAAGTGTCCAAGGCCGGGTTGGACAGGACTTGGAGCAACCTGGGATAGTGGAAGGTGTCCCTGCCCGTGGCAGGGGGTGGAACTGGATGAACTCCAAGGTCCCTTCCAACCCAAATAATTCTGTGATTCCAAGGTCACTGACTGATTCTGGCTTCTCTTGACCTCCTGGTTTGGCTGTGAGAGTTCAGGAGCCAGATGCAGTGGGGATTTCTCATTCCTTGGCCACCCTGCTGGGACAGCTGATGGTGGCTCTGGGCACAAACAGCCACTGTTAGGTTGGAACCTCTGACATGGAGGTGAGAGCCTGAGGATCCCATTCCCCATCCCCAGCCCATCTCCCTCCCTGCCTTTAGAGGATTTAATGAAGAGGTGAATACAGTGAATGAGGAATGGGCCTCTTCCTGAGGGATGGCCAGTGAAATAGCCCTTGACAGAAAGCAGTGCTCAGGAGTGGGTTAGGAGAGAGTCATCTTCATAATTTTCATTTCATTTGATTTTTCAGCCCTATTTCAGAATGGAGGTAATCCTCAGTACTCTTAGCCATGGAAATACTGAGTGAGAAAAAAGTCTCCTTTCCCAGATATGATCCTTATTCCTCATCATGCTTACAAAATCATGGGCAAAACACTATCTGCTCAGCCTGTGAGTCACTCAAAATGGCATGGAGACAGGATCACAGAATCCTGGAATGGTTTTGGTTGGAAGAGACCTTAAATTCCACCCAGTGCCACCCTGCCATGGGCAGGAACACCTTCCACTGTCCCAGGCTGCTCCAAACCCTGTCCAGCCTGGCCATGGACACTTCCAGGGATGCAGGGGCAGCAACAGCTTCTCTGGGTAACAGGATTTGCACTTCTGAATTATTCCTTTCATATGTTCCTACCTTTGGTGGATTCTGGCATAAGCCACAGGCAGGTCAGCATCAAAAATGAACAACTGGAGTGCTGAGACGTTTTTCCTGTGTTTCTGTTAGGAAAAAGAAAAGAAAAAAGAGCAGCAGTGGTTTTTTTACTGTGCTAAATGAAGCCAAAGAGGAGCTGTTGAATCAGCAGAGGGAACCCTGCTATCCACCTCCTTTGTGTCTCATCCAAAGACAAGCAGGAGCTTTCTCCACAATGACATTCCCTGCTCTGGAGTCCTTCATTGTCGCCCTGATTCTTGAGTTTTCTAAAGCCTTCTGAGTTTACATTCTATTGGGAAACTTTCCCACACAGTTTCTGTAAATAACGTGTTGTTTTGCATTCCTTCATGGGGGTGGAGAGACTTAATGTACTAGTGCTTTGTCCAATGTCTTTGGAGAGGTGGCCCATTCACTCTCCAATCCACTGTCACCTTTGGAAAAGTATAAAAGTTGGAGTCAGAAAATAAACTTTCTCTTTTACCTTGCAAAGTGGCAAGTGGCTTGCGTTGTGCATTCTCGTGTCCTATAGCGACACTTCATTCCCCTTCTTTTCTCTCCAACCCCAGATTATTTCCTGACGCTGGACGAACCCATGAACAACATCACCACCACCCTGGGCCAGACTGCAGAGCTGCACTGCAAAGTGTCAGGGAACCCCCCTCCCACGGTCAGGTGGCTGAAGAACGACGCTCCCGTGGTGCAGGAGCCCCGCAGGATCTCCTTCCGAGCCACCCCCTACGGCTCCCGCCTGCGCATCCGCAACCTGGACACCACCGACACCGGCTACTTCCAGTGCGTGGCCACCAACGGCAGGAGGACTGTCTCCACCACTGGCGTGCTCTTTGTGAAGTTTGGTGAGTTTTCTCCTCTTCAGCTCTTCCAGCTCTTGCTTTTAGGAGAAGGTGTTTATCCAGGGGAGAGCGGTGCGCTGGAGTGGTGGATTAGTGGGATTGTTGAGGTGGGAAAAGCCAAGTTTGTTAAAGTTATTAAATTCAGGTTATGCAGAGAGAACAGAAATCCATGAGATGATTCAAAATGGGCTTCCCAGGGAGGGTGTTGGGATGGCAGGGCAGAAAGCTGCCTTGGGATGGAGCTTGGAGAAATGGTCCTGGGGAGCTGAGGAGCCCTCAGACACCCCTGAGAGCTTTTGGACCCTGCTGTCTGTCCTACAGGGCTGGGATCTCTGCCCTTTCAACCCCATCCACAGGTTTCCTAAATAGTTGGATTATGGGAATGTAGGAACAGCTGTATTTTCATAGAATCATGGAATATTCAAGTTGGAAAAGACCTCCAATATCATCAAGTCCAACCAGCACCCAGCACCACCACTATGTTCACCATTAAACCATGTCCAAGGTGCCACATCCATGTTTTTTGAACAGTTGTAGGGATCTGCCTTGACTGTGACTGTTCCAACACTTTTGGAGGAGAAATTTTCCCAATATCCAATCTAAACCTCCCCTGGAACAGCTTGGAGTTGTTTCCTCTTGTCCTGACCCTCTTCCTTGGGAGCAGAGCCTGACCCCCTGGCTGTCCCCTCCTGTCAGGAGCTGTGCAGAGCCAGAAGGGCCCCCTGAGCCTCCTTTTCTCCAGGCTGAGCCCCCATTAATGGGGTACCTGGGTAGATTCAGACCAGAGGAGAAAAACTCCTTTAATCTGAGCAACCTCAGTGTCTGGTGAGTGAGAAACTTCAGCTGGCACTGCAGGCTGAGGGGCTGGGATGAGACACATATATATCTGTCAGGGAAAATAAGCACTCATTCTCCCAAGTTTATATTGAGATAACTGCCTTCAAAGGTGATCTTACCACTCAGAAGATTCCAAACAAGAAACAGGTTTTGTGTGTCTTCTCCCCCTCCTCCTCCACGGACAGGGGGAAATAATTCACCGAGATGAAGATATTTGCACACAGTCCTGGTTAATCCTCTTTGGAACTGGACAAATAACATGCAAGGAATGATGGATGTGATGAGTTTCATTGTTTTTTTTCATAAATCTCCCATGTTTTCTGATTTCTGATAATAAATAAATCATTAGGTGCTCTCCTAAGGCAGTTTCAAGAGGAGGGTGAGTTGCTCACCTGTTTATTGTCCTCATGTCATGTTCTGCAGCCAATACAGGCTTGTCTTTGGTGCTGAGGGACTGCCACTCCCCTGTTCAACTCCATAGACCACAGCCAACACCACAGACTGCTGCTTTTATCTTTTAAAAGGTTTTCAAAAGCTTCCTGCTTGCTACCTCGCTGTAACTCATCCTGCTGTTTTTCTTCTGTCACTTTTCCAGGTCCCCCGCCAACAGCAAGCCCAGGATCCTCGTAAGTCCTTTCATGTCTCTTCTGTGCCTTCATTAATCTTGCATTTCAGCAGTCAGAAGTTCATTTGTCATTTGGTGTGACAGGAGCACTTTTCCATTCTGCTTTTTAAGTCAGATAGGATGGTAATTTATTGTAACTGAGTTATCTGTCTCGCAGTGATATTTTCATGTTGTCGTGTCAACTCCTATTTCTTACCCCAGACTTCTTAATTTCCAATATTATTACCTTTAGATCCTCTGGTGCCTTCAGTCTGTGAAGTGATTTCAGTGCACCTACAGGTACTTCATCCATGTCACAGCCCAGTTTGGAAAATATTTATCACTACAAGCAGATTTTACTACCCAGGGGCTTCTTGCTGATTTTAAGGGTCATAAACTGTGTCTGTCTCTCTGTACCTGTATGAATAAACTGTCTGAAAAGATTTTTTAAAGATTTTTTTAAAGATGGAGTAGGTGGGTGGGAGCAGGGGCTGTTTGTAGCACAGCTCCCTGTGTCCTGGAGCTCAGGTTTGGCTCCTGTTGCAGGCTCTGAGCACTCCCCACGTTGTATTTTGGCAGTGAAGCTTCTGTCTTGGGCAGTTTTTGAGAATATTCACTTCTATCTCTAATTTCAAAATACCTGCTCAAACCTGCTCACCTTTTCAGTGCCTTCTTGTTCTCAAGTGTGATCTCTGGCTGTCCTGACTGAGGTTTGGAATCAGTTTTGTGGTGCTGTGTCCAGCTTATTCACATCTCACATTGTAGAAAAATATTGAAAATCCACCTCTCCTGTTGAGGGGAAGGAAACACAGAACCAGCTAAACCAGAAAATTCATCAATTAATACAATGAATGCAATTACAAAAACCTGGGGAGGTGAAAGTTCCTGACTCCTTATGGAAAATCTTCCATGAATTATTGCAGAGGATATAAATGAGGAGAAGCATCTGAGCACAAAAGGATGTTGTAGGATGCCCTCTAATGGACCAGCCTAAAATGTGGTTTTATCTGCCCTTGTGAAGGTGCCTGCTGTGGAATCCTGGAGTTTGTTTTGGAAGATTTCAGCTCCCTTGGGTGATTCTGTGGGGTTCTGGGCAGGGAAGTTTCCTTATGCTGTGGGATTTGGGGGCTGTTGGGTTTTCCAGCAGTTGGGAGACTTAATGAATGAGGTGAGAAAATGGGGATTTTGTGCTGCTCCCACCTAGTTTGGGGGTTCTGAAATTTGTGGGGTTAAACAACACGTCCTTGGTGGTCAGAACCCACGTGGGAGCAGTGTGATCACAGAGAGCTGGACTGGAATTTCACTGTCTGGGCCACTCAGGATTGCCTCACTTTTTAAAACAAAATACATTTGGGAATCTTTTTTCCCTTTTTTTCTTTCTGGCAAGGGGTTTGGTGTTTTTTTTGCTCCCCTTCCAAAAAAAAACCCCACAACTTAACCAGCTAAAATACACACAAAGGATGTGAAAAGGGGCAAAGAAAGGAAGATGTTGTCTTTAATAGTTGATTTTGTAGTTGTAATAGTTATGATTTTGTAACTAAAAGGAAATTTAATCACACTTCAGTTGCATGTTGTGAAATGCAGGAGGGAAATTGCCTGGAATTCTGGTTCTTTGTGTTTGCTGCTCCTTCCATGCAAAGAATATCCTGGGGACTGGATTGTGTGACTCTCATGTAGCCTTCTCCCTGTACAAGTTGAAAAATGAATTTGTAGCCATTAAATTAATTTTCTGGGTTTTTTTTCTGTGCAAACCAAGCCCATCTCTGGCAGTTTCCAAGCTGCAGGGTGAGAGATGAAGTATCTGGCTGTCCTCCCTCATCATCCTCCCTCTGGGGAAACACTTTGCTTGGGAATAATCTGGAAGCTGGTTCATAAAATTCAGGAAAAAACCTGATGGCAAGTTCCTGGGCCTGCTGTTCCCATGTCCTTATCAGTCAGCCATGAGGGATATTTATTGTTCATTCACAGATTTCATTTGAGGATCTTGTTTTTAAAAATATCCACACACTCAGCCTTTTCCCCTCCATAATTTATAGGTGCAGGGTGGGCAGCACTGCCCGCCCTGAACGTCCTTCCTTTAACTCAGCCGTGCTGGACAAGCTGTAAAACCCTTGGGATCACATTCCATGATCCTGCTCTGCTGCTCTGACTTAGCTGGGAGAAGCTTCTTTTGTTAAAAAAAAAAAACAAAAAACCAAAAAAACCAAAAAAACCCCACCAACCAACCAACCAACCAACAAAAAAAAAACCAACAACAAACAAACAAAAAAACCCAAAAACACCCCCAAAAAAAAACCCCAAAAAACCCCACAAGCCCTATTTGTGCTTTAGAAAGACATAATTATTGATTTTATATAATAATATAAAACATAATAGAAAAAGAATATAAAATATAATAGAAAAAGAATATAAAATATAATAGAAAAATAATATAATAGGAAATATTATAGAAACTATTTAGAATAAATATAATATAAAAATTATTAAAATAATATAAAATGCAATATAAAATATTTGGAATTAAATATACTACAAAATATAAAAATAATTTTAAATAATAGAAAAATCTTTAAATCTTATATAAATACATAATACAATATAAAATATAATAGGAAAATGCATATAATTTTTAACATAAAATTTAAAATAATATATAAAAATACAATAGAATAATTATCTATATAATATTATATTATTATATCTTTGGGTGCTGTGGATGCAGGGCCAGCTCCAGGCAGCTCAGGGGATGTGAGCTTCTTTTAGCCATGAATTCTGATTTCAAACACAAATTGGGTTGACTGGATAATTTTGGGGAGATCAAAAGCAGCGTTTTTGTCAGTCACTGGGGTATTCGTGCAATGTTCTGTGGCTGTGTACTGCACACACAAATTTATCACAGAATCCCAGGAGGGTTTGGGTTGGAAGGGACCTCAGAGATCCCCTAATTCCAACCCCCTGCTGTGGACACCTTCCTCCAAACCAGGAATTTGCACTGTAGCCATTGCTTCTCAAAATTTCCCCCATTAGTTTTGAAGTTCCTGTGCTCCACATCCCTTTGAAAGTCACTTTTTATCCATCCTGCATGGTCCCTTAAGGACACAGAAATGTGTCTTCTCCTCAGGGGTGGCTGCAGAGATCAGAACCAGAACAGAACGAGGTCAGAGCACAGCAGAGCCCTGGAGATGAGAGGATTTAATGTAAAAACAGAGATCCTTTGGCCTGGGAAATGGTTCTGTGCCCAATCTTTCTCTTCTTTTTGTCTCATTCTCCGTTGTTCCCCTTACCCTGAGCCTTGGCTTTGTGTTTATCCCAGACTTTACCCACTGCAGGAGAAATCCTGGACACAAATCACTGAAATTAGAGGTGGTGGAGCAAGAACTTCCACAAGAGATGCAGTGAGAAAGAAAAGGAAAATGCCAGTTTACATGGGCTGGTGTAAAAATGAGCTGGAAAAACCCTGCTGGAGTGGAATCCAGGGGGAAGAGTGCAGGAAAAAGCTCAGTATTTATTATTTATTGTGTTGTGAGCATGTTCTGAAGAGGTTCAACCTGGATGTGCATGGCAGGGATGTATTCCCAAGTGGAATGTGTACATGCTGGTGCCAATATTCCTCTGGAACAGTCCCTTTGTTCTTCATGGAGCCTCTTCTATATATAAATATCCTAAATATGGCATTGTTTTGTTCTTTATTTAACCACTGGGAACAAGGAGAGGGGAAAAGAGGAGACAAGAGGGCTGTCATTTTAAGGAGCATCTGATTCATAAAATGAAATGGGGTTTGTGATTCCCAGAAATAAATACCTCACAAGGCTTGAGAAACCACAAACCCCCCTGGATTTCCCCATCCTTTTCAGTGATTGAGAATTGTTTTTCCTTAAATTTTTCTTTTTTTTTTTACTTTCAGCTAAACACATCTGGGTTTTTTAGTAAAACAGATCTTTTGTACGGTGGCTCTGTGTGCCAGCAACAAGAAAATGTGTAAGCACTGGCCAGCATCCAGGTGAGGCTTGGCCAACTGTGTGTGTTATTGTGGATTTCAAAGAGGAACACAAAGACTTTCCTTTTTTGGCCACAGAAGGTAAAATTTAGAGAAGAAAAAATGCCAATCAAGAGGCCAGAACAGATTCAGTGCTCCAGCAGCATCCTGGGAGTGATGTCCCTGTGCTCTGGCTGCCAGGTTTCTCTCCTGGAATCCTGGACTTCCAGCCTGTCCCACATTTTGTGGCTGGCACAGAAACTCCCTCCTGCTGTTCAGTGATGGAAATTCTGAATGAGGACTGGACACAAGTCCCAGGTGTTTTGCTGAGGGATCTTTTACAGTCCCACTGTGTGCTGGTGCAGCAGCTCGTTCCAACCCTGTGGGATCTGAAGTGGGATATTCCATGCAGAGGCCAATATAAATATATTTTGGGGGAAAAGAAGCCCCACTTAGTGCGAGGCTGGAGCCTGAGTGGCTGATGCTGACACAAACCATGTTCATCCTGCTGCATGACTTCATCCCGGGGAAAAGAATCCTCCCTCAGTGTGCCAAGGGCTCAGGCAGGTTATCTGCAGTGGGAATGTTCCTGGGGAGGGCTGGCCTTGTCCTCTCCACGGGCTCTTTGATCTGCTGCACACTTATCTCTCGTGCCACTGATGCCTCAGGTTTGGCTTTTATATTTTCACATTCTGAGCTGCTTTAGTGTGTGGGTCTGGGCTTCACATCAGGGGATGCTGAGCTCTGTGCACAGAGCAGGGACACAAAACAATTCCTGCTCCAGCTGGGCACCAAGGACAAATGATCCAAATCTCAGCCCAGGAGCACAAACAGCGTGGGCTGGAGAGAGAAAAACAAGCAGGGTGGGACTGCCTGGGCTGAAGCTGGAATGGGACAATGAACTCCAAGGTGCCAATGGAGCAGAACTGATCCCAGGGAGAGCCCCCGGGAGCGCTCGTGCATTTTGGGGCCATTTTGGTTCATTTGGGTGCAGCCCTGGCTGGGCTCTGGTGCTGCCCAAGGTGGATCCATGGAGGAGATCCTTT